TTATGAGCATAAAGAACACATAAAATAAAGCTTACACATGCTTATTTTTCTGTAGCTGCCCAGCAACGCTGTGGGCAAAGCATCTCCTTGCCACCTCTCCTCCCACAAGTGATGCGTGTGTTGGCTTAACACTGATCTGGGCATCTATTTCTATTATCAAATGAATACGCAAGTGCAGCCATTGCAGCCACCTTGTGGCAGCTGTGAAGAGTGCCAACGTCCATGCCGCAGGTCTGCTAGTAACCAAGATTCATGCCTTGTGCCGCATGTCCCCCGATTATCTCAGGGCTTCTGTGACTCAAAAGAATTGTGACCCAACATGACCAGGATACTAATCCCCTCCCCTCTCAAGGGTGTATTTTGGATCCATCAACTCTACTGTTGGCTCCATCGATGAAGCACTGGCCATTCCTCACCTCTCCTTCTACAGTCACACCCTCTGCTCATCTGCATGTGACTCTGCTCTTCCCACGGGTGCCACGTGCAGGGGCCTGCCAAGCTTGTGGATCCCACTGGGCACCACCTCAGCATGAACCTGGTGAGGATTTGGGAAGTTTTGTGTATGATCAGCAGCAGCAACTCCAGTGCTGAATGCACTCTGAGCACCACCAAGGCCACAGGCAACAGACCTCACACACCGAGCACCTGCGTACAGACAGATGTTCACTTTGAGACTACAAAGGTACTTTGACATCTGAATGTCACACACCTCTATGTGACTCACTGCAAATAGGATATGTTCTCAAGAAGCTAATTTATGGCCAGTTCTGCTTTAATGCAGTATTCGCTGAGCAGCAGGTTCACATGTTTCCTCCCACTTCAGTTCACTTCTTGTATACTATCCAGTTACAGTTTCTATAGCCACTCCTCAACCTCTCCTAGCATCAGAATACCCTTTATTTTGTATACATTTACATATGCATCTATTTACATATGTACATTTGTACACATGTAATTGTAATCACCTTCCCCCCTTCTAAATTTTTCCCACTATCAAAACCCAATAGCCCATTCCCTGACCTTGCACTGAGCTTGTACTGAAGTCATGGGAATTTCTTCGACTTCACCTAGCTGTAATCCAATCACCAATCCATGAGTTCAAAATGAGTCTCCACCACAGGTCCCCACAAGTGTTCAGCATGGCACCTGAAGGAATAGTGTTTAAAACAATAGACGGGGAATGGATTTTGTCTCAGCAAATTAATTCCACTAGAAAAGCAAGAAATCTGGAATGCCTTGCTAATGGGAGCAACAAGATTAACAAAGCTTTCCCAAAAGGGTACCCCCTACCTTGCTCAGGCACTGAAAACCACCAAGAACCTCACATCTAAAATAAATACAGTAGTTTGCAACTTTTCTGCAATGGTGAACCTTTCATAAGTATCAGTACACCACAGCCAAAGGACAAACCTTCTTTGTATGTCAAATACTCTTTCCCACACAAACCCTAACTCCAACACATGCTTCTTGACAAAGACACAAATGCAGCTGACCTAAACCCAGTCTTGGCTAAACTGAGTTCTCCCAAATCACTCAAGAGTTAAGCTGGGCTACTGAGCACATCAAGGCAGCTATTCTCACACACCTGCTGCAGTGGGAAGGTGAAAAAAATACACTAGCTTCCATCAAGATTTAAGCTAAGGTATGCTTGTGACAATTCCTGTGTCCCCAGCCTCTTCAGCTTGCCAATAGAGTTCCATCCTCTGCCCTTATTCCCAGTCCAACAGTGCCCTTTCTTTTTCGGCTGTATAGGCACGTGTGTGGTCTCACAATGCACCAGAGCAGGTAACAGATGTGGATGAGAACAGGTAGGCATGACGGCTTCTTTCAACAGCAGTGCCAGCTCGAGAGGATTTGTGCAACCACAGCCTGTTTATCCAAGCATAGAAACATAGGAACTCAATGTATGACTCCCTCTTGCATCCAATCCTGCACAGGAATGGAGCTGCTCCTGAAAGAGGTAGTCCCTCTCCATGTTACTCATGCCCAGTGGCATGCTACCCTTCTGCATCAGACCTAGCACTATCTGGCCACCAAGCAGGCTGATCCAACTTCCAGATCACAGTTTTTGTTTAAGGAAGTGGGTTAATTTTCAGTTGGAGCAGTGATTGAATTGATCTGAGGCCACTTGGTCACTAGATCCGATCCAAGGGAAGCAGCAGGAGCCTGCAGTCAGGACTGGATGAGAACTGATTGTTCCTTCAGCAGCAGCCTGTAGTTACACTGGATTAGCCATCACCTGAAGCTGTACTCCAAGCAACGCAAGTTATTCAGTTACATTTCTCAGAAAGCCCTGTCTGAGCACAGACACCATAAACAGGCACAGTTAGCTGCTGCTCTAAATCATACCAGTGCCCCTATGACTACAGCTCTTCCCAGAAGCAAGAGGTTAGCACAGGCAACAACTGTAAGCTGGTGGTACAAGGGGCCACCTTTTTGCTGGAATGTGTCATCCTGGCAGCAACAGGCTCTCTGATCTAGCACAAAAATTTGTAGCAAGACTTTGTGGTTAGGAACCAGGCTGGAAAGACTGAGATAAGAAATTAGCGAGGGTAATCAGCCATTGGAATAATTTACCTGGGGAACCAGTGCAGTCTATCACTTCGTATCTTGAAATCAAGACTGGGTACTTTTCAATAGAATTTTGGATTCGATGCAGTGATAACCAGCTGGGAATGTAAATACCTGACAGGGGTCAGAATAAGGCATCTGTCCCCAAATGGCTGATACTATGAACATCAACTGCTCATCTCTCAGAAAAGGGAAACAATTTCCCTCTGTACAGCCCAAGTGCCTAAATGATAGAGTGCAACTATACTTGCACTAAAGTCACTTCTAAGTACTTCATTAAAAGATACAACAGGAGTTCAGCGGGGAGCTGCAAAGCTGAAAGGAATCACAGAATTTACCAGGCATGACTACAGAAATAAACTAGCTATGTATAACTTAGCTACACAGTAACCAAGCAGCCAACATCAAACTGGAAAGATACCAGATGACAGAAAGCATGGTAAGCCTTAGAATCAAATATTCTTGGAAAAAAGTCTGATTCTGATTATGAATTTCAAACCCCTTGCAGGCTATTTCTTAAACTTTGTCTGGGATAACCATGGAGAGTGAATGTAATTTGCATGAATACAAACTAATTAAATATAACAGCCCACTTTAAACCAGACTCCAGAGTAGAATATGTTAAACAAAAAAAAAAAAAAAAAAATTTTGGCTCTAGCTCTAGAAAGCACTTGAAACAAGTGAACTGTAAGATTAAGAGTCAATAGAACAAGATTAAGAATGCCTATCTAAAGTTAACAGGATGAAATAATAAAGAAAAAAGGTCCCAGGGAAGAGAGTCTTCCCAGCAAAATCTCTCAGGTTGCACAAGAGGTTCCCAGAGGAAGTATTTGGGTTCCACTATTTCACACAGCAGGAACAAGGGGCTTCAGCAAGAGCACCAGCCTCAAGCCTGGCTGACTGTTGTCACTTGCAATTACATTGTATAACCTCACAGATTTGATAAGATGGCTCTGCTACTATACATGCAGCTCAGTGCTACCCTCAACTGAGAGCTGGCAAAATACAGAAGCCAGCTGAGCTGTTCCCAGTATTAACAATAACCAAGAATTAAGAAGAACTCAGATTTGGTACAACTTCATGTCCGATTTGCAGATGCCTCCTCCTCACCCAATTCAGTCTGAAATCTGGGTCACCCATTCATTATTCCTCCAAACCAAGCCACCTCCCTCCTATGCAGCCCTTTAAAAGGATCTCTGCCCTTATCCAAGCCATCTCCAAGAAGCCATTTAAGGTACGAGAAACTCCAAAGCACCATGGAATCAGGTCACAAAACTTTTAACATGCTACAGATGTGGTTTGGTCAGAGGACCAGGCACACAGCTCAAGGAGAAGCCAACAGCATCCCCATCCAGCAGCTCCAGACTTGGCCAAGTCTGCAAGAAGTCAATACAGTTTAGTCGAGCTCAGATCGCCTTCCCTGGCTCTGTATTCCCTACCAGGTTTGATCCAGGTCTTATCCAACCTCTAGGAATAGAGGAAGCACCAAGCGCTAGGATGACACGGGTGCTGGGGGTAGATGGGTCAGGCCAGAACCGTGAGAGCTCAGAAGTCCCTGCAGCATGTTGTTTGGAGTCCTGAGGTTGCCACCAGAGCTGCTGCAGTGGCAAGGCTCCGAAGAGGCTGCAGGACGGAGATGGGAAGCTAGTACCTCTCCTTTTCGTTCTCCTCCCTTCCCTCCGCGACAGGCCATAAAAGTCACAAGGCGCCAGCCAGCAGAGCAAGGAAGAAAACAACACGGTGTCCAGAGTTCAAGCTCTGCGCCGGGACTCCCGGAGCTGAACCCCCAGCAAGCACCGTAGGACCTCGCTCCGGCGTGGGAGGCACCATTTCTGCCAGGCTGCTGGCAGCTGCGCCTGGGACCGGGCCTGTGCGTCGGGCCCTACCTGCTGCCGGCAACAGGAGGAGCGGGGCGGGGAACGGGCGCTGCCGTCCCGCACAGGCCTCCTCGAAAGCTGCCCCCCCCGCCCCCGCCGCCTGCCCGGGGCCGGCAGGAGACGCCCCCACCCCCCCGCCCCCCGTTCCCCCTCCGGAGGCACTGGCCCACCGGAGCTCACGCAGCGCCCCGCCGGCGGGAGCGGCTCTCCGGGACCCGACGGCGGCCCTCCAGGGGCACCCACACCTGTGCGCCGCGGGCCCGGCCCCGCAGAGGAGCGCAGCAGGCCCGCCGCGGGTGGGGCGAGAGCTCACGTCCCCGGAGATCCCTCCGCCCAGTCCCCCTCGGGTCCTAAAATGGTGGGCAGCCCTCCCATCCGCTCCCCGAGCCTGCCCGCCGCTCCGGCTCGGGGGGGGAGCAGCCGCTCCTCCGGCCCGGCCCGAGCTCCGCGGGGATCCGGCGCCAGGCCCGCGCCTCACCCCGCCTCTCCCGGGAACACGGCAGCGCCGCTCCCGCCGGGCCGCGCCGCGCCGCCCCCGCCGGCCGCGCTTACCTGCGCCGGGCTCACATCGCCGTGCCGGGGCTAGCGCTGCTCGCCCTGGCGCCGCTGCCTCCTCCGCCGCCCCCCCTCGTCCTCAGCAGCCGGCCGCAGTCTCCCCGCCGCCCGCGGGGCCGCAGGTATGTCATGAGTGCCGAGGCTCCCAGGTGAGCCGGGCACACCTACAGGAAGGCAGGCGGGCCGCCCTGATTGGCGTGCGGGGCGAGCCCGGCCGGCAGCGAGCCGCGCTCCGACGGCGCGGGGCAGGGCGAAGCCGCCGCCGACGGAGGGCCAGAGCGGGACGCGACGGTGGCTCCGACCCCTTGTTCGCGGCCTCTGTCCACGGCTGGGCGCAGCCCTTCGCGCCCTCTGCAAGCCTCACTGCAAGGTGTTTAGGTAACTTTCCTTTTTCAAAATTAACTAATTAATTTATATATTTACGTTTAATTGCAACGGGGACAATAACTGTGCCTCCCCTGGGCATGGGGAATAGAGCGCTTACCCCTTGGTTGCTTTGCCTCCAGGGTGAAAGCAGAGCGGGTACACCTGACCTACTGATCCCAGGTCCCCGGACTGGCTCCAGAAAAAGAAGAGTTTTTCTTTCGTTTTCTTGTTTGTTTTTGTTGCTGTTGGGTTTGGTTTGGTTTTGTTGGTGTTTTTTTTTTTTTTTTTTTTGGTGGGGGTTTGTTTTTTTTTTTTCTTTTTTTGGTGGGGGTTTGGTTTTGTTTTTTTTTTGGGGGGGGGGGGGGGGGGAGAGAGGAAGGGGGAGGGTTTGAATGGTTTTGTTTGATTGGTTGTTGTTCTTTCTCTTTACCTGAGTCTCTTGTATTACTGCTCCTTAAGGTCACTCCTTAACTTTGCATGCCTGTACCCTCCTGGTTTGTATTCCCTCCCAACGGGCAGTAGGGGTTTTAAAGAAAAGTGCCTGGCATTGGGAGAGTTGTCCCTTTGCCACACGTGGCAGGGCTTGGAGATCCCAAGATCACACCTGAGATCTGTCAAATAAATGTAAATAGATTTAACACCTGGATTCGGAAGGATCTAAGTAGGATGTGGGTAGAAAAACTCCGTATTAAAACCTGAACACACAGCTACCGTTCTCAGGCATCCTATCTCTCCTAGGTACACAGGTCAATATCCTGAGGAGCCCTGTCTGCATCAAAGCTTTCTCTGGTTGCTGTGCTTAGATGTGGACTGAAAAGGGCCCAGCATATCAGTTCCCTATAAGGGAAATTCTGTCCCTGTCTGCCAGTTTGACTGTAGCAATAGGGTCCATAGGGAGACTTCCGTCACGTGTGATTGTGGAACAGAGCATGGCAAAGAAAGGCATACATAAAGGGAAAAAAAATGGGAGGACAAGTAGATGAAAGACAACGTGTGTTTGGGAGTAGCAGGAAAAGGGAAACCTTGACACAGTTGATTATTGTGCTCATTTAAAAAAAAAAAGGGGGAAAGCTCAGAAGTTTTGGGGTTTTCATTCCATGCCAAATAAACAGAGTAGGTTGCTTCATTGTCCGCTGCCTCAATTTTGTTTTTTTCAGCATAGATTCCTGGATTTGCTTAAAGGAATACAGCATTTATGTGAGAATGCACTTTACCACAGTATATATATTTGCAAAGATTGCAAGGTGGGCAAAGAATTATGCAGACAGGTGACTGAGGAAGGCATTATCTATATTACATTCTCTTTCTCCTCAGATTGATAATCTGGTGTCACCTCTGCCGAGCCTTTTTCTCCTAATCATGTAATGAGGCTTGCAGGTGTGTATCCTCCAGGACATGCTCTGAAGAGTTCAGCAGAAGAGGAGAGGAGCTGGAACCAGCCACTGGAGAAGCCCTGTAGTCCACACCCATGCAGCCCTCAACCTGTCCTTCCCTGCATAATCTCTGGGGGGTCTCCCAGGCAGGAAAACTTCCCCAAGAAGCAGCACAGTGAAAGCCCTACCCAGCCACCAGCACAGTTGTACTCATGCTTGCTGCTGCTTTCTGATTCAATTAATGCTTTCATTCATTTATGTGCATGGATTATTTCATCATAGCGGATCAGCTAATGCAGTTGAGATTCCTGTTCCACATCATTGTGTTTACTGTCAGCAGAGAGGAAAGGGATGCTTCAAATTCCCGCAAGTCAAGAGACTGGGGAAATCAGCTCTGGATCATGTCTCTTTTGAGTTGGTGCTCAAAACCTCTGGGACATTACATAAACAGGCGATGCCTCTTCCTATTGCATTTTCTAAGTTCCTAGCAGCAGGCTGGAGTTGGGCATCCTGACTAGAAAATGGCACCTCTGTCATTCAGAAAAGGACATCTCATTGTCTAAGAAGGGCTTAACCTTTACCCTCCCTTTGGCACCTCCAGCAGCTGCAGAGGCAATTTTCTATTTGCTTTTATGAATCATATCCTGAGGTACCTTGCTTTCCCTGTCTGTTGCATAGGAAGTTTGAATGCTTAACTTTTCTTTTTATATTACATAGGGTGAAGAAGTGCCTGAAGTCATAATGTGCAGCTCTCAGTATCACAATAGCTAAATCCTTCTGTGGGCCAAGATCTTTTTCCCTAACTGGGTGGGAGCTGGACTCCTATCTTCTGTGTGGACCCATGCAAAATTACTGCAGAGGTGTCCCACATGGGTTGGGCTGCATTGTCTGCTCTCTCAGCCCACCAAATGGCAAGTTGCACCAACTGAGTACCTGGCATGTCGCTTTGTATCCAAGGAAACATATTCCAGTGAGACCTGGCAGTACCAGGAGCAGGGTGCTGTACCCTGATGTTCTCCTTCTTGCAGTGCCCCTGTACTGACTGAGCACACTGCAACCTCAGTGGGCTGAGAGGCAGTTCAGACACTAACCTCCCACTCAGACATCATCCTGGTAAGCATCATGTCCAGCTCAAGTCCTGCCTTTTCCCATCCTCACCACTCCATAGCACACATTATTCTGGGTTTAACTCGTACTGTATGCAAAGAATGTGGTTGTAAATGGAAAAAGCCAGACAGACAAGACAAAATCTGGCAGGTTTTAGTAACACTTAGGTAAGATGCTGACATATCAGAAGTATTGGGGGGGGTGCTTGTAAGGGGAAAGGAATCTGAAGTTCTTCCTAAAATTAGCTAAAATCATTTGCTTGAGCCTGCACTCCTTGGAAAAACAAATAACTTCCCTGGGCATATTTAGTAGCTATACCTTACTCCAAACAGATGCAAACCTGTGTATATGGCAAGAAAAAACATCGTAAGAATGGCAAGAAACACAATGCTGAGTTTGGAAGCTGAACCAAAGTTAAGTTTATACAAGCAGCAAGTGAAACACCCATCCCCAGTGAGTCAGGTCCTGGCTGTTTCCTTCATTTCCTCCAAGGCTTGCTGTGAACACCCAGCAGTAACAGTCCTTCTGAAATTCAGTCATCTCCTTTCCTGCCCCTTATTTATAGCTTGCTCTCAGCAGTTAGCAGAGTCCCAGTATGCAGCACTGCATTTTCACAGGCTCTTCTCCAGCACACTGAGAGAAGTGCAGGCTCTCCCAGACCTCAGCTCAGCTTTGGTAGCACAGGTCCCATTTCCTGTTGGATTTGTAAGTGCTAGCGCCTGTTGAGTGACAGCAGATGCTGGAATAAAGGAGGGGACAAAATGGCAGATTGCACAGTTCACCAGTGTTTTTTGGTTTTATCTTGAATACAGCTATATTGAAAGTGGTTTTATGTTCCTCTAACTGTCCCTTTGGGTTCAGTCTCTTAGGGCAGAGGATACAGTGGAATATTAAGGTGTGTCAGTGTGTAAACCGTTTCTCAGAGATATGAGTTTGAACCTGCTGATTCAGGCTAAGGTGTATCCTTACCATAAGGTGCATGCTCTGATTTTCCCCCTTGACAGCAGCTAAGAAAGAGCAGTATTTTTAGCTTTTGCTTCTTTCTTTACTTAACAGTAGTTCTTCATTTGTGGAAGTGAGCTTGGGCCTGTCATAGTCTGGGAATCTGCTTCAGTGACAGTTGTGGATGCAGCTGTGAACTCCTGTTGCTGTCTGGCATTTATCCCAGGGCATTCAGGAGACCATGGACTTCACATAGGCAAGTACTGTTTTCTGGAAACTTTCCTGAAACTTGTTACAGCATATATCCAGGGATAGGTGGCTATGACAGAAAGGATTAGGAAAATGAAGAACTGGGAAAGTCCTTCAGGTAATATGGCTAGAGCTGCTTTCCTATGTGAAACTAGTTATAAGCCCACATTCATACAACATAATCTGAGTTAATAATAGTAGCTCTAAGACAAAAATACATATTGTCAAAGAGCACATACATGCTGAGAGGAGCAGTTATAGACTGAAATGGGCTTTCTCTCCTGGGAATTCCAACTAGTCTGCAGTGACCTAGACACTTTCTGTTTGCTCTTACAGAATAAAACCAGGAGAAAAATAATTCACTTAAATTATATATCTTTATAATCCTTATTCAACCTCATCCTTTTTTTTATTTTTTTTTCCATACAAAAAGCAGCAGGGACTCTGTCCAAATGGATACCTATTTGCCACGGAGTGATAGTTTTACCTCATGATGAACTATGTGCCAGTTACTATGAAGATCTACATTGGTAGGATGGATTAAAAATAAATGGCCCATTTAGTGTGTTGTACAAATTTCTCCCAAAATAATAGCAGTGGTCTTGCCTGATGTGCAAATAGGGCCATTGTCCTAAATGGGTTGCTTGCTAAACCCCACTTCCTTACAGGTGCTGCCAGGAAAATATAAACAACAAATGGATGAGACTTCAGACTGACAGCTAGAGACAAAGGCTGCTGTCAGAGGCATAAGGGTAAGGGCTTGTCTGGAGAGTCCCTGCCTGTCAGCCACATAAGATGCAAAAGTGTATTTTGTTTGCATACAGTCATTTAGCCTGATGCTGCCCAACAGTTCCCTTGATTATAAGCTACTTCCTGTTTTAAAAGGCAAGAAACTAGTTCTTTCTTTGAAGATGAGTGCTTGGTCGAGGCTTTTGAGTTTTCCCAGTTACAACCACAGCTCTTTCACTGAAATCTGGACTGTTGTCAAGGGAAATGACTGCTCATGCCAGGGCTTCAGAAAGGTATGGGCTTCACAGCGCAGATGCTGGTTTCCTTGACCTTCCCTGATTTTGGTTGAATTGGAGCCAGGAATGGCAAGTCTCCAATAGCAAAAGCAGGCAAAATAGCCTCACATGTTACAAATATTGTTAGCTGAGCAGGAGGCAGGACAAACTAATGTGAATGGCTCACAGCATTAGGTACAAACCAAAGAAAGAAGAAAAAATCCACACAACATAGCTTCTGCACAGGATTTCATATGATCAGCTACAGCAAAACACAACCTAAAACTTCAGATTTATTGCCTTACATGCTATTTGAAAAGACAGAAGGAAACAGCTTAAAGCTAAAGTCCCGTTCAATATTGCATCCTTTTTTTTTCCCAAGATTAATAAAATAATGGACTTCTTGTAAAAGCAGGAAGCTTCTTAGACTAAATTAAATATATAGCACATTTTTTTGAAATTATAGCTTCTTTTTATTCTTTGGGGGAAAAAAGGACCTATAACTAAATGGGGTATATTCTCTGAAGCCGCTGCCCAGCCTTTAAAGATTACATACTGCAGTCTAAGTTTCTACATTGCTAGAAAGATTTTCCTCAGCCAAAGTTGCAAAAGTTAACATTTGATATACCTAATGCAATAGGACATCACATTCCTTCCTGTTGAATGTATGGCTTTTCAAGCCCTATTCCGACCTGATTAATATGTGGACATCTATATGGGAGTGTCCCTGCAGCTAAATAACATGAGCTTGAGAAACAATTTTTTCCAAAATGTAGAGCTTGAAGTAGTGCAGGGAAAAGATGGTTAATGACCAAGAACAGCCATGACAGCATTCCTTGGTACTTTACACTGAATGTTGGTGTACATGTCTTTTACTGAGTAAGACTATTGCAGTAATTTCTGGTGTGTTGTCCACACACATCAGGAGGTCCATGGGTTACCTGAAGAGGATCTACAAAAGGGAACTAAGAAAGACAAAGGCAATATCTGTGAACAAGGATCCTAAAAAAAACCCAACAGATGAAAAAATGGTGCTATATATTATTAAGGTGCCTCCAAAAGGACTAAAGCACATTATGGAGAAAAACAATTTGTACTGGGGAATGAGTAGTCAGACAAGGAGAAAGAGAGGAAAGCTTTTAATGGGCTTTGCCTCTACTCTGTCATCAAAAGTGTTAATTCCTGTTAATCCAGAACACACAACATTGGTCTCGCTATCCAGAAATACCACAAACAACTTCTGAAAAATCTTAACGAAAGTCAGTTATGCAAACATTTCCAAACAGCTGTTCTTTTACACCAATTGACACAGGAAATTTCTAGCTCAGTTACAGTTTTAAGGAAATCTTTTGGCTTACGCTTCCTCCTCACTGAGATGCTCTATGCAAAGGATATTCTGGTTATTGCTTGTTCCTGGCAGGTGCCTCTCACAGGCTGAAATCCTCTGTTGTATCTCCCAGGGAGGCTTTAGGAGGCAGCTCTTGGTTTCCTGCAGCGCTCTCAATTTCTGTGTGTGTGATTCTGCAAGAGGAAAAAGCTATTTTTTCCCCAAATCCTGTGTTGATCTCCAGTACGCTTGGCCTTCAGAGATCTGCAAGAACAGCTGAGAACATTGCAGGCTGCAGTGCAGGGGAGTAGCAGCTTCCTGAGGATACTGCAAAGTCTGGTCCAGACAGTGAGGCTGCAGCTGCCTGACTGCGATCCAGTTCTTAAAAGCCCCATCTTGGTTATTGCCTTCCCTGAATAGGAGACTAATTTGCTAACAGCTTTGCTCTTATGTGCTTTTTTTTCCACGGCTCTGGCTACATGGCTGTAATTCATAGCCTGGACACTTCAAAGGTGTAATTTCCTCTTTTTACTCCTGCAGTACTCTTGATCTATGTCTAAGAATCACGTTCTCCCTGCAGACTGGCAGGATGGATGGCCTGTGAACTTGGCCTCTTGGGATGGAAGAAACCAGTGGAGATCAGCATCAGCAAACAGGCAAAAGGGAATTTGTCAGTGTCATGTCCAGCTGTCCTTCCTGCATGGTGGCAGCAGAGGGGCAGAGAGGGCAACTGTGCAGAAGTTAACTGCTTGAATTAGGCACAGCTAATTCGTTGTGCAGACCTGAATGAAAGTCCTGATGTCTTGGTGCAGTAAATTGTTTCCCAGCCCACTTCATACACGTGTCTCTCACATACACATGCAGTAAATGCTGGATTGGAGTCTCTTACCAGCCTTGCCCTTTACCTGGACTTCACACACTGATGTTTCTCCTCCTTCCTTAGAAGTAAGAAAAGGCCTATACAGAGAAGATCTGTGACAGTGGCTATTTTTCCATTTTCTCTTACTCCAGCACCCTTTGAGAAGCCTAGGAAAAGACTGGTGGGACTCTTAAGATACTCCCACTCCTTTTGCCAAGGCAAGAACTTGCCAAGGCAAGCCTTTGTACTATTCTCATATATGGCTTTCATGGCAATAACATAAGTTGGGGGGTATGTGACATTCAAAGCCCTCTGTGGTCAGCCCTGCTGACCACAAATAAATCAATTTGCTATCAGAACAACTAGGAAATTTCATTCCTTCTTTCTGCTCTCTTCAGATTCAGGTAGGACAGCTGTCCTGTGGTTGTTTCTTCAGGCTTTCTGTGCAACTGTGAGCTACAGAAATAAATCACTGTAAGGGACAGGTGGAATACAAAGTCACACCACTGCAAGCAATCTTACTGTAGTACGGAGCTGCTCAAACACTGAACTATAGTTAGGACCTCAGCATGGAGAGCAAAAATGAAAGCAGAAGTATGCTGCCTCCAAGGGGCTTGCCAAATAATCTTCTGGTTCAACCTGAAAGGGAGGATCTTGCTGCGTAGGAGCTGGATACAGAAAGCACTGCACATGCCCATGTGCAGCTTTTCACCCTTGCAGGCAGCTGCAGCACCTCGGTGTGTGCAGTGCAGGTGGGAGAATGACATTCTAAAGTCTTCCCCTGTGCTTCAAACAGCAGCGCTGCCTCTGCCACAACCCCGTTCCTGCCCATCCATGCTCACTCGGAAACCACTGTGCTGGGAAGCTACTTCTTCCTAGCTGAGATCCTCTTACGATAATGTCCGTGTGTTGTTGCTTGTGGTATAGGTCAGTAGTAATGACTCAGACCAGCCCTTCACTTTCCTTCCTCTTGTTGGCTAGACACAAAATCCAGCCCACAGACAAATTAATCTGTCCCATGCACCAATAAAGATGATTCCCTGTTAATTAACAAATTGCACACAAAAGTCCCTGGCTTGTATTAACAGACTCTTGAGTGCCTGTGAAATCAAGCACTTAAAAGTTCAGGAACTCTGCATTCTCCCTGCAACCTTGACATAGGGTTTGTGGGTTTTGTTTTGACTATTTTGGTGGATATAATTACATATAATAGTGTAACTTCTAATGAAATAAACGAAGTAATTTTTCATCAGCTTATTTTTTTTTTTTTTTTTTGTAGGGGAGGACAAACAAAGCTGAAATGTGCCTTGCTCCACATTCTGTGTCTTCGCATGCGAGGAGTCCTTGAGGTGGAGATCTCCAAGCCTTTATATGTAATAACGTAGTGCCCCCTGTTGGGAAGCTGTTCCTGACTGTCTCCCGGCTGTGTTCAGGTGAGATGCCATTAACACAAATACTAGACTGTTTCACGTGATCCTGTACACCGATGAAGTCTGTATAGCATCAAACCAATAGGTTTAAAAACACACCTTTTCCTCCCTCAGATATTTTTTGTTGGGCTCGGACAAGCAGTTGCACTGGGTG